ATATGAAATGTGACCTTTCGTGTCTGGCTTCTTTCACTTAGCATAATGTCTTCAACGTCCATTGTACATATCCTATCATATGTAGGACCAATTCTAACTCCCGACTCTTCAGCTGGTGAATACTTGGGCTGTTTTCATCTTTATTTTTGAGAACTGTGAACATTCATATACAAGTTTTTCTTGAGTCTATTGTGTGTGTAATTTTAAAATGTTGTTATTAAAAGATAATATCTAAATTAAGTTGTACTCTGAGTTCTCCAGTCTGTATCAGTGCTGATTCTCTCACAAATTCTCTAAGTTTTTTACTTGTACTTAATGGTGCAACCTTCCATTTATTGCATGTGTGTAGTTTCTAGCCTCAAATTATGTTTAAAAACGTTGAACAATATTTTTATTAAGAAAAAGAAACAAAATTAGAATGGGTAATCTTTTCAAATCACAGCACACAAACTGAATCAGATAAGGTTTTGTAAAAATTGATACACTAACATGAGATTAGCCCATGTTTTTACATTTTTCCTTTGGCAAGTTCAGAGGGGGGATTGATTTCACAGTTTTATCCATCATTTTACTGAAGTTCTACCCAATATTTTACATCATATAGATGATTATGATGAAGAAAATAAAATTTGCATCTAACTCCTGCGTTAACAGTGCAGTATGTCAAAGTTGTTGGTTAGTACTAGAGGAAGATTGGTTCATTCTTCATTTTAGATTGCCTGAGAATTGGGCAAATTCTCTTTGATGTGCCAATCTATTAATCAAAACCTACTCACGTGGAATATTACTAAGCAATAAAAATATCAAGTATTAAACTGAGCACAGTGACTCACATCTGCAATCCTAGCTACTTGGGAAGCAAAAATCTGGAAGACTTTGCAGTTCAAAGTCATCCAGGGCAAAAACTTATCAATACCCCATCTTAACAAAAAAGTTGAATGTGGTGCCACAGGTCTGTCATCCCAGCTACACAAGATAAGAAGCAGAAGAATCATAGTCCAGGCTAGTCTAGGCAAAAAACACAAGACTCTACCTGAAAGATTACTAAAAGCAAAAAGGGCTGGGAGCATAGCTCAAGTGGCAAATCACTGACTAGCAAGTGCAAGGCCCTGAATTCAAATCCCATCCACCCCAAAAAAATAACTAAAAGCATATTATAAAATATGCAAGTTAGCTGTCAGATCCACCTATAATATATATAATATATATGTGTGTGTATCACTAGATAACCACAACCCAGATGAAGAAATAAGCCCTAAGAAATTCCCGTATATCCATGTCAGTCAAGAGCTCTTCCTAGAGATGACCACTCTTTTCCGTTCCATAACCATACATAATTTTGCCTGTTCTTAAATTTCATAGGGTGGATTCTTTCCATATGTACTTTTGTGGCTGACTTCTTCCACTCATGCACCACCAGGCCGGGTGATAACTATCATAATTATCATTATGATAATTTTAAAATATATCTGTGTTGTTATATGTTTCAGTACTTTGCTTCTTGTATTGCTGGGTGGTATACCATTGTATAAATATATCAAATTTATTTATTTCCATATTGGTAGATATTTAGATTCTTTCCAATCTGAGGATATTATCAACACAGTTTCTCAGAATATTCATGTACTAGTCTCTTTGTGGTCCTATGCATTTAATACTCAAATAAATTCTTAGAAGTAGAATTGATGGGTCATAAGTTGTATGTTTAAACATCAGTTTTCCAAAGTAGTACCATTTTTCCCAGACAAAAGGTCTTTTGGCTTTTCACTTGAAACAACCATGGTTTTAAAAGAAAGAAAACCAAAAGATGGTCTTAATGGAAAATGAATAGCAATGTATAAACAACTTCTGAGAATTATTTTTAAGCATCAAGAAAATCAGTATAAAAAGTACAGAGCTCTCTGACAGCTTGTCCTTCAGGGCAACTACTTTGTTTTTGATCATTGCTTTAGAAATAATTTTAGTCACTTAGATCAAAGTTTTTCACAAAGGTTATTCATGCAGGGACTCGAATCCCAAGAGGACAAGAATTTACATAAAGCATCCTTCAGGTGAGCTTTTTATTCTCTTCAATGCAAGTCCTGAAGGGGAAAGAAGAGTACCCCCACACAGTGTTCCTGTTTACTGGCCAGCCCAGCATGGTGACAACTGAAATGATATCTCAATGTCTAACACAGCTTACCCCAAGGCACTGATTCAGCTGTGTCTCCCCTGAGTTCTGCTTCCGATAAACAGATCAGGGAAGTTTATTAATGATGCACTCTGGGGCACCAGGCTTGATCAGCATCAGGCCTTGCACACAGCCCCAGCAGCCAGTCTCTGCCTGCTCATAGTCCTTTCTGTTTCTGAGACATCCTGACACCCACAGTGCTCTTATTACTGGTTGTACAAGGCTCAGTAAGTGAAAATGAGACTATAAAGCCATAATATAACTCCAATCTTAGCAACTTCAAGAGATGCTCAGAGATGCAATATTTTTTCAATTGTGAAAATTCAAAATTATCAACAATCTAGATGTCCAAAAATGGGAAATGGTTAAATAAAAGCCTCCTACAGACAGTGGGAGTCATTATGTTAAGAATGAGGCCCTAGAAAAATCCAGAAGCCACTATAAAGTCAGCACAGGGACATCCTTAACGGATGGGGATGACAAAAACAAACCAAACAGACTTACAGGGCTCCAAGCCCAACTGTTGACAGTTATTTCTGATAGAGGAGTTAGGAATCCTAGTGGCTGAGAACGATGGCTTGAATTCTGATAAGGAATCATATTCTAGACTGCTGCCATTAATGGAATGACTTGTGATATACAGCAGAGTCTTGATGACCCCAACCTGTAGAAAATAACAGCACCCATCTGACCATCCAAGACCAAGAACTGCCCCACCCAACAGGGAGAAGTTGATGATAATTTAAAACCAATCCACCCCCTGGAAGTTAATACATGTCCCAGTTTTCCAGGACATCCCATGTCCACAGACCCAATAAAAGCTTGAGGTCTTGGGGTTCCCAGCACAGGCCTCCTTCTTGAGTCTGCTGCGCTCCTGTGTGGAGAGTGCACGTGTGTTCTGCTTTCACTTTGCTTTGCATTAATAAACCTGCTCCTGCTTAAGTCTCCTCTTTCTCTATCCTTGAACTCTTTCTCCAATGAGGCCAAATACTTCCTAGCCCCTAGACTCTGTGATATGAATCCAGCAACATTTCCAGATCATTCAAGAAAGGACTAGGGCTTTGTCCTTGACAAGCCAATGGATTTCTTATGACTTTTACTTTTATAAATAGCTTAGCTTCCAGGGGGGAAGGAGTAAGGAACTCCATTTTTTTAATTGTCTACCATGTGCCAGGCACTTACCAAATATTGATTGACTTACTCCCCACCAGAGTTCATTGTCCCCATTTTAAAGATGACTTCTGCTGGGTGCCAGTGGCTCATGACTGTAATCCTGCCTACTCAGGAGGCAGATATCAGGAGGATTATGGTTTGAAGCCAGTCCAGGGAAAATAGTTCACAAACCCTATCTCAAAATAAAATAAAATAAAATAAACTTATCACAAAAAAGGCCTAGTGGAGTGGCTCTAGCATGTGTGAGGCCCTGAGTTCAAAACCCAATACCACCATCACCAAAAAACAAAAGATTACCTCTGATGGGTATAGTGAAATGCACCTATAATTCCAGTACTCTGGAGGCTAAAGCAGGAATATCATGAATTTGAGGCCAGCCTGGGGTATATAGCAAGACTCAGTCTCAAAAAACAAAACCAAAGAGAGAAAAAAAGAAAAAAATATGAACTCTGTCTTAGAGAAGTTAAATTTAGCTTTCATAAATTCTCCCAACTCAGAGGAGTCAGGAGTCAGGACAAACACATATCCCTCTCCAGGCCTTTGCTCTAGAATTTCCCAACAGCAAAAAGATTTAAAAGGAATTTTAAAATTGGCAGCTACTTCCCTAAGCCAAGGACAAGAGCACCACGCTCAGCTTGAGTGGAAAGATGTGCTTGAAAAGAAAAACATTTTACCCCTTGGACTCTATCCTAGTGACTAAGTAACTCTCTACTTGCAAGGTTGAAATTTGTTTTCCTGTGAGAAAGGTTCACTAATGAGCCCCTTCCTGGGACAGCTCCACCCCCTGAGTCTCTACAATCCACAGTGACCACCTTGAACTTTATATGGTGGTAAGTTTCCCTACTCTCCGCTCTAGACCAGGATGAATGACTTTCCTACCATCTGACTCAATTCTCTAACACAGAAGAAAGCAACCCTGTCTTCCTCATTCACAGTCTTACTACCTTAAGACATTGTCTGTCACTAGTGTTGTGGGATTTCATTTAACAAACCACGCAGACAACAGTATTACCGTCTGTTATGTGCTTTGGGGGATCTTCTTGATACTAGCAGGTTGGAGCACAGTTGGCTGGTTTGCCCTTGGTAATCTGTGAAGGTCACTTCTCTTCCAGAGCCTGTAATCGGTAAGCCTGCACTTCTCTTCTACAAATGTGTCTCTTCCACATTTTGCAATTAAGGCTCATTTCTCTGGGTTTCATATGGCAGGCGTCTGAACAGAATTAAAAGCATAAGCACGTGCAAAACTAATCCGCTTCCCAAGATAGTAAATGCTGAGAAGTCCTATATTAGAACACACTGCGAGTGCTGACTGGCCAGGGCATGATTAACCTAATAGGCTTAAAGCGCCACTTGCCATCCACATCTGTCAGGACATGAGCAAAACACAGGCCCTAATCCACCACATTGAGTGTCCCACTGCTCACTAACAGCAGGGAACTCAAAACTTAGGACAACAGGCACCACTCCCTCTTCACTGCAGGGCCAAGGAAGTAAAGAAAGCTGGTTCCAAGGTTAGGACCTTGCACCAAGGACTTCAAAGGATTCTGCTTTGGAGTTACCTGGATGGACCAGTAAGGCTGCCTTTTGTTCCTATTGCCGAGATGATTCTCTGAAAATTGTGACAGTTGTGGATGGAAGATGACTACAAGCTGAAACCATGGGGTGTACACCTTCACACAATGACATCGTAAACAGCGTTGCAAAGAGTGGTATTCAGTTTTTGAAAAAGCCCAAAGCAATTTCGCCAGGACAGCAAGGAGGCAGTGAAAGATGTCCCATCCCTTTGCTGGTTAAGAGTTCCACCTGCTATGATCCTGGGGGAGACTTGCCCCAGGGACAGAGGCTGACAGAGGAGCTGAGTTCCAGGAGGTCCCAAACTGGGGCTGAAGGTCTTTGTCAGGTCATGGGAGAGATGGAAGGACCAATCCCAGAAACCCAAACGTCCCCATCCAGGCTGAGCTCATCACAAAGCCATGTGGCTAAGGACATTCCGTTCAAGACACCAGGATTCCACCGAACACAAGGAGCAGCCTTTCCTGGGAAAGAGAGTGAGGAAAGTATCCAGGACACCTCAAAATGGGAAAGGAAACCAGAGTGCCACCAATTGGGCCAACAGGGCCATTGCTTCCAAACCATCCTTCCTGCTCCTGGCTCAGAAGGCCAAGTGGACTTCCCCAAGTCCCTAGTAAACACCCACCAGCACGCCTATGCCTACCTGCACTGCAGCCTCTCGCGATACGAAGCAATTGTGCACCTCGTGCATCAGGCCACCCAGACCCGGGAACTGCTGAAGCCCATGTTCAGTTTCCTGCTGCTGTTTTGAGGAGGTCAGCCAGCTCCTGGGGGAGATCTCCAAGGATGGAGAGGTGCTCCTCCAGGAAGTTAGGGAGGATCTGGCTTGGCCATCAAGGAAAGGAGAACCCCAGGAGCAGCCAGACCTCTTGCAACAGCTGCTGCAGTACACAGTCAGCAAACTGCAGGTGCTCCACGGCACAGTGGCTTCCCTCACTGGCAGCTTCCTGGAAGGCTCCAGCAGCTACTTCCACTCCACTGCCAGCCACCTGGAAAGTAAGCTGAGCACAAAGAGGGGTGTTGATGAACGGCTCCTGAGGGCCCTGGGGCAACTAGAAAGCCTGGCCAGTGGCCATGGTGACCCTGGGCTGCAGGGTCCACCCTTGTGCTCTGAGGACAGTGGCATTGGTGCTGACAATGAGTCTGTGCAGTCCACAGACAAGCTAGGCAAGCAAGCCAGCTGGGACTTTGCACCAGAACCTGTAGAATGGAAACCAGGGATTTCACCGCAAGTGGAGACCAGAATGTCAGGGCATGCCTGGCAGCAAAGCCCATTCTGGATAGGTTCAGAAAGACCCCAGGACTGCCCACTGTCAAGGCCTGCTGTGGCAAAGGTTCAGCCTGCAGCACAGGGTGAAGCAAAGAGCCCAGGCCCCTCCAGCACAAGCCCAGAAAGTATCACCTCTAAGCCTTTGGAAAAAGGCAAGAGCACTCCGTGGGACTCCCTAGGGACTGAGGTTCCTGTGGAAGCACATCTTCCTAAAAACCCCGGGTTGGTGGAGGCTCCATCCCTTAGTGAAGGTGAGGACAGCAGTCCAGAGGAGGAAGATGAAGTTAGCTACATGAGCCTGTGTGCAGAGCAGGAAAATACTCCACATTCAAGACCAGGGTCTTCACCCACTGACCGGGAAAGGCTTTTTCAACCACACTCTAGGAAGCTGAGAAGCCCCCAGGCCCAGGAAATAATTCTGAAGATGAAAGAAGCTATCAGTGAAAAGATCAAGTTTGTCCCTGTGCCCTCTGGATACCAGGACTGGGCTGAGGAAGAGGAAGGGAGGGCAGTAACCCCACCAAGACCTAGCACAGTCAGTGGCAGCAGGGGGATTCCTGAGAGGCAGAGGAGGTCTCAGTCAGAAGGGTGTCTTAAGAACCATGTGGAGGACCCCACCCTCCAGGAGCTGCAGAGGGTCCAGAGAGACCTCAGTCAGAGGTTGGAGATGTTTTATGCCTTGGGTGCTACACGGCAGGGGCAGAGCAAGGGCCAGCTTCTGCAGCCCAGAGTAACAGCACTGTGGCCCCATAGCAGCTGCAGGGTAAGTCCCAGCAACACTGTCAGCAAGTTCAAGGCCTCCCTCTCCAAGAACTTCAGCATTTTGCCTAGTCAGAATAAGGGCATTGTTCAGAGATGCGGTTCCCACTCTGAGGAAGAACAGGGGAAAGCTGAGAAGCTGCCAAACTCCATTCTTCCAAGTGAGGACAGCGAGGCACCCACAGTCAAGGTCGGGGATGTCAGGCGCTGTCCCACCAGAACATCAGTCAAGAAACTTATTGAAACTTTCAGTCCCACTGAGAATCTGAAGACACAGGGGGACTCCAGGAACTCCGGGTCAAGCCCCTGCCTCAGGAAGTGGGGGGTCCCTGTCATGCCTCCCAGATTTCCCATATACAGGGGGCTTGCCCCTTTGTACCCTAAGCCCCAAATTTCTCCAGCAGCAGGCAGAGAGTCTCTCAAGATGGGCACACACTGGAGGTCCTTCGCTCCAATCTTTCCTCCTCTGCCTACAGCAGAAGCATCCAAGAGTGAGGACATCAACAATGATACAGAGTGGGACCCTGAGCAACTCCCTCCACCACCCCTGGAAATCCTGATGGACAACTCATTCACTTCTCTGGAGCCCCCAGAAAGCAGCAAGTCAGCAGCGAGCTCCCCCGAAGAGACCCAGGTACCAGGGCTGGGAGAAGCTGGTCCCGCCCGAAAAACATGGGCTTCCACAAAGCTAAGAGCCTCCATGAGCCACATTGACTTGCTGCCCCGCAAGGGCACTGCCAACCCCTCTAGGCTGCACAGCACAAGACCAGGAAGCAATAGAAGTGGTGGCAATCCCAGAAAGCTGGCCTTGGACCCAAACCACCCACCAGCAGCCTGCTCAAATCCAGATGTGGAGAGTGGGGCTCAGAGTCAGGCACAGGAAGAGAAGGTTGCAAGTGTCTCCAAGCATCACCGAAAGGCAATCCCCTGGCACCATGCCAGCCCTACATTGGGGCAAAGCAGGACCTTGGAACTCAGCCAGGCCAGACCCACACAAGGGCCACGGTCTACAGAAGCCTCCAGGCACAGCCGAGAGAGAAGCCCCCATGTGGTCCGAAAGGCCCCTCCTGCAAGGGCACATGGACATGGGCCACCCAAAGCAGACAAGAGGCAGCAGAGCATGTCCTCCTCTTGTGGACCTGCCCAGCCAAGCCTCACTGATATTCTCAGTTCCCCCAGCCCACCACTCAGCCCTGGAGCCCCCAACCAACCTGTGAGCCCCAGGACACTAAGCCCATCAACCACAAGGAAGCAAACTTCCCCACCATCCCAGCACAAGCTGCCCAGCTCACCCCCAGGGAGCCCACCCACTCAGCACAAGATCTCTAGCCCTCCTGCCCAGTGCTCTCCTTCCTCTGTCCTTTTCCCATCCCTCCCAGAATCCACTTCTCAGGGGCACAAGGTGACAAGAGAGTCTGAAGACAGTGAAGCAACCACAACCAAAACATCTGGGAACACACATTCCATGTTCTGCCCTGACACCTCCTCTCTGTTTGCAGCTAAATCACCATTCTCAAAAGCCCAATCACTGCCACCAGAGCCTTGTGTCTCTCTTCGGACCCCAGCAGGATGCTGGAGGAGTAGCTCAGGGCCACAACTGAGGGTAAATTTGCAGAGAAGAATGGTTCTGTGTGCCCTCAACCCTCTGCCTTTTGTCAGAAGGACAGCTCCCAACCACCAGCTGGGTGTCCCACTTCTGCTAACAGGTTCCAGTGCCACCAGCCCCTCTTGGGAATCCCAGTCCAGCCAAAGCAGGTAAGCAGCATCCGCAGGCCACCACCCTTCCATTACCTGGAGCAGAGAAGAGCAAAGATAGTTAGTCTCTTCCCCTTGACCATGAGTGAATCCACTTTTATCTGGCACACATTTTGGGTTCCTGAGAAAGATTTTAGTTGAAAATAAGCTTGTTTGAATTTAAAAAAAAAAAAAAGTTGAAAACAACCAGCTTAACCCTTCTCCACACACCCCTTATCTCCTTATCTTATAGATGGGGAAACTGGGGCGATCTGACCTGTCCCCAGGGCTGGCTCACTACACTCTGGTCTAGATTCTGAGAGGTCCTCTAACTATTGGGTCCCAGGACCCTTTAAACTCTTAGAAATTATTGAAAACCTAAAAGAAGCTTTGTATATGTGGGTTATAGCTATAAATTTTTGTCATAAAGTTAAAACTGAGAAATATTTAAATATTTTTTAAAGAATAAACCCATTCTATGTCATACAATCCTCATGCCTCAGCTTCCTGAGTGTTGGGATTACAGGCTTACACTACCATGTCTAGCCAAAAAGTATATTTTCCTTTAAAAAAATTAGTGAAAGGATTTACATTTCTGCAAATCTTGCTGATGTCTGGCTTAGTAGGAGGCCAGCTGGCTTTTGCAGCCAGTCAGTGATGATGTCACACACTATGTGGACTTTGGAAACGCCTCCCTACATTCCCCAGAGAGTAAATGCAAAGGGCAAGTAACATTTCCCTGTTGATAAAAATAGGTTTGACCCCAGGAGCTCCCTGGAAGTATCTCCAGGATATCCAAGGGGCCCACAGGTCACACCTTAAAAATGGATGGTTCTGGAGGTATGGAATAGAAATGTCTGATTTTATGTGGCCCCAAGGACCTGGCTTCAACTCTGGAGTAAGAACATTCATAAGCACTAAACACCGGAATCCAGAGCAGGGGCTGCCCTCCCTGCCCTGGGCAGACTGCGTCCCCAGTATACCTTTTTTCAGAAGAACCAAGTGCCTTGCATATCATTAGTACAGCCTGGAGACAGGCCTGGGCACACCTGCAAGGGGACAGGAGTCAGTACAGCCATTGTGTGAGTGCTGAAAGAAGGACTTATAGGCTCAGGTGGTAATTTTATAGAATACATGGGGGGGAAAATATCAATCGGAGGCCAATTAAAGAACTCTTATCAGTGTGTCCTGATTTCAGATCAGACAAAACTCGACTAACACCAGTCCTTGTTCTCTCTGCATTGCCCACAGTCATGTAAACCAGCAGTTAATTCCTGCCCAAGTGATATGTGTCACAGGTTTCAACCATCTGTCCAGGCATAAATGGTAATTCTTTACAAAGTACTCAGCAGTCAATTTTAAATAAAGATATTCTCTCAGGAAAGTTGCGCATTATAATAGTTATATAAACTTCCCCAGACACTTGAAAGAAATGAAATATTGATTATTTTTGCAAGAATCTTAATATAATGTTGTGCTTTCCTCAAATCTAAAATGAGCTTCCTACAGCACAGTGGCTTTCATCTAAGAACCTCTGTAAATGTTAATGCATTATTCCTCACGCCAGCTACTTATTTAGTTATTAGATTTCTAAAACTGTGCCCTTCAGGAAAAGAGCTTGAGAGAACAGGGACAATAAAATGGCATTAATTAAAAACACTAACATTTTAAAACAGCAGGACCTATAAAATTGTTCAAGAACATAAAATTGGTCAAGAAGAAAATAATGCCCTTCTCCCAGGTTTTGCTCAGCATGCAGCAGCCTAAAAGGTAGTTTTATGTCCTGAATCTCAATATTTGGGGGAAGGAGGTACTTGTAGCTTGAAAGAGAAGCTTGTTCAAGGTCACATGGAAGGTCACTTCATGACTTGTACCCATTCCCCGGCCTCTTGGTATGACCACACTTCTAAACCATTCCAAACTATGAGCACAAGATGGAAAAATGCTCACGCCCTAATTCACTGTCCCAAGGTGAGAATTTGGTGTCTGGAAACAGAAACACGCCAGCTGTAAGAGCTCTGAGCATTTGCTTCTCTGTTGAGGGCAAGGATATTTTTCTGCTACCTCACATATGGGCATGGTTTCCCCAAGATCATGTTAGAGAGCCAAGGACGAATTGGAATGGGCCTTTTCCCAAGCTGGAACTGCAGGCACACAGCCGTGCCCACTGACTTGCGGCTGAGGCAGGCTTGCAGAATCTAATGCTCTGACCTTGACTTTGGCTCTCTTCCTGTCTCTCCAGCCTAGGCATTATCCCCTTTCATAGAAATGAAAAAATATAGGATGGTGTGTATATCCTCCTCCTGTCTTGAGGACCGGGGGAGCAGGAACAGTCCCTGCAGGCTTCCTCAAGGAGTTCAATTACTGAATTTCAACTGTTAAGTATGTGCCAAATCCCCTGGTAGGAGATTTGCCAGTCCCTAGCCTCAGAATGTCGGGGTACTGTGTGCGCTCAAGAAGGGCACAAACTTTCTCCCCTAAATGCATGCTTTTTATCTTTGCCTAGCCCGAACTGGTGAGGCAGAGGCTCAGTGTAGTCCCCACTTAACCACCTGAATTACACTGCCCAATGGCCAGGACAAGGTGGTCAGTTACTCTCCCTAAGCAGTTCCAGGAAGAGACAGAAACACAGCCACAGTGTGACAACCAGGAAAATCAGCTTCCTGGCGGATTGATGCAAATGTGGAACCTGGTTGAGGCTGAGAAAATAGAGTTCTAGATCAACTTGTTTATCCAGCTACCATGTCAGCCTCCACAGAGTGGCATGCCACAGCCCTTCCCTAGAGCATGTCCTCACCCCTTCCTGCCAGGCCCTCCAGGGAGCAGCAATGGCTGCAGGGAGCAGCAAGGGCTGGGGCACGGGTGAAGGGTATCCTGCATTTGCCTTCCCACTTGCCAAGGGCTCAGGGAGAAGGAAGGAAGGAAGATGGTAGCTGTGGCCCTCAAGTCACACTGGGCCCTGAACACTTGCAGAGACCTGTGATAGGACCAGAGCTGATTGTGAGGAATCTGGCTCTAAGGCATGCAGTGGGTTTCTCACTGCCATCCCACCAAGCCCCACTCTCACCACCTTGATCTTGTTCAGATCCAATCACACATTTGTCCTCTACTGGTTCAGTGTCATATGTGCAGAGCTAGATCATGCCGTCCCAGGCAGAGAGAAGTACCTTCTAGTCAGGTCTGGGCAGGTGGGAAAAGGGCTCTTGTTCTGCTCCTGAGGCCACTGATTGAGAGCTCTGGCCAAAGCACCACTCTCTGAGTCCCAGGTGTCCACCTATAACTTGAGTCCTTCCCAGCTGTGACTTCCTATTAACTTTACCACGCAGCACCATAGTGACAGGTAGTGAGCTCACTGAGCACCAAGAGCTCTATGTTTCACCCAGTACTGATATCTGTGAGTGCCTGGTGAGAGCGTACTGTCATAACTTCTACTTAAAAGAAGGGAAACTGAGACTCAGAGAGATCAATTAACAGGCTACATGGCACACAGCTGGGAAGTGGAAGAGTTAGGACTTGAACCCAGGCAGCCAGACTCCAACCTCCACCAGAAGCCCCAAGGCCAGCTAGTCAATAGATAACCAGTGTGGCTTTCAGAGTTGGTCCTTCCCGCTCTGTATTTTGTAAAACCTCCATTCTGCTCTCCCCATACATCCCCAGTCAAGCTAGGTATTAGCTGGGGGTCCCCTTCCCATTCATAGCCCTCTTTGGCAATGTCACTCGGCAGCTAGGAAGCTCTGTCCTAGCCCAGTGTTGGGCGAGGGTCGGCCAAGCAGTTTCCATATGCTTCCATTCAGGAAAAGAGTAGCATGTACAAAACAGTTTTTTGTTTGACTGTTTGGGGTTTTTTTTTTTTTTTGCTTTTTTTTTTTGTCTTTTTTGGTTTTTGTTGTTGTTGTTTTTAATTCAATTAGCTAAGCCCCCTGCAACTTTAAAAACAAAAACAAAATAAAGGCCCAGCTCCCGGAGCTCCTCCCAGGGAGTTGCTTCATTCAGAGCAGCAGGACCCTGGGCACAGAAGAACTGGACTTGACCTGTCAGCAGAAGTCCTGGGAGCTGGCTCCTAGCAGGCCCAACCATAGCAGGCAGGCAGGTGCACAGCAGGGACAGCCCAGCCTGGCATCAGGGGTAAGCTGCTGGGCTGTGAGGGAGATGGGGAGGAGCAAACAGAGGAGAGTAGGGAACAGGGAAGGGAGCCAGAAGGAGCTGCAGAGAAGGAACATCTGATCTGTCCTTGTCTTTCCTCTTGGCAGAGGCAATGGCACTGAGGAGAGTCCGAAGCAAGACACCACACCTTGGAGGAGCCCCTATGCCCCAGAACTGCTGGGCGGAGGTGCTGGTGCCAGGCAGGCATCTCCCCCAGAGCTCTGCGTGTTGGGCCATGGACTGCAGCCGGAGGCTCACGTCAGCCGCAACCAGGACAAATCCCAGTCAGAGGCACAGCCCCAGCAGAAAGAGGTGGCCTGACAGGCTAGGCTGGCTAATACTAGTCACCCAGAAGACACCCCAAAGATGATGGGGAAACCAACTCCTCCTCAGCTGCCTCAGAAAGGCCTCAAAGATGCATTGCCCAGGGTTCTGATAAATTTTAAACAATCACCAGTTCCAGTCCCAGATCCTTCTTTGCCTTAGGGTTCAAAGGTTAACCAAAACCTTAGGCCCAGAGATGACACTCTATAACCCTTCAAATACCAGCCTTAATTTAGGGGGGAATATATTTATTCCTAAAGGGCCACATGTTCTACACGGTAACCCCTGGTAATCATAACATCATTTAATCCTCACAACAATGAATGAAATAAATAGCGTTCTCCAGTTTTGCAGATAAGAAAACCAAAGATGTGGGGCAGAGGGCCCCCTCCCCAGGTACCTGCTGTACAGATAAGAGAATAGAGCAAGCATTGGTACAGATGGGGATGGCCCTAGACTCTAGGCTCTTTTCCTGACATTACATATTCCTTAATGATCCCATCACTCCACCTACGTAAGTAGTTTCACACATAATGGGAAAACTTCACTTTTTTGAGGCTGAGTGGTGGCACAGCATTGAAGTCTCCATTAGAGCTTTGTTTAGAAGCTAATTGCTCCTGACAACAAAGACTGAGGTGGATTAGAACACACAGCCCCACCCACCCTCCTTTATCTCCTGCTTTCCCAGCTCAGCACCAATGCTATAAATTTAAAGTCTCCAGCTCCCAGCCTCCACTCTGCTGCCCTTGGTCTCAACGCACGGCCTCAGCGCTTATGAAATGCTCCTTGCTGCCCTGCACGCCCACGTGTCTCATGGATCCCGTGGACACAGCTAAGCCTCCCAAACAATGCGGCCTGTTCTCTGCACGCGGTAGGCGCTGAAGCTGAAGACAGTGTGGGTAAGATTCACACTCTCATAAGCCTGTCTCCAGCCCCCCAACTCCCTGGCTGCTCGGCCAAGTTTATTCCCAGGTCATCTGCAGAACTTCTAATGGAACTGAAGTTAAAGCAAAGAATGGCCATTCATGCCAAAAACCTGCTTCTGCCAATGTGCTAGATACTTGCTTCAGATCTTGGAATTTTTCCATTGGAGGCTGTGGAGTTCTTTCTATTTAGAAAAGAATTTGCAGTAATTGAGTGATTCAATGCTCGCTCAGTGAGTTGTCAAGAGACAAGAATTCTCACCCACGGGTACAGAGAAGGGGCAATCCTCCAGATCTGCTGCAAAGCTGATTTTTTTTAAGTTTGAGAAAATTATAGACCTCAAATCCTTTCTTGTTGAAATAGATTGTGGGCTCAAAAACATGTTTCACTGTGTCCTAGAGCCTCCAGCTACTTCCCCCCAGGGACAGCTGTGACTCGGTAAATGAATATCATCTGACTTGTCTAGTTATTAAAATGAGGGTGACAGGGCTTATCTCTTCAAAGACACCTGAAGAACAGTTGATTAGTGACCAAGAGGAGACACACTCACCCCTCCATTGGGAAATATCTGTACTCAGCCATTCACATGTTTGCTAGTATAGCTACATTAACCTCAGAGCAGTGCTCAGGCCACAGGCAACAGACTGCAGTTCTGGGGTAAAGCCGCACCCTAGTTGGGTGGACCCTGGGAACTGCCTGGGCTGCAGGCAGTGGGCAGGACAGGGACTGAGCTAAGTCCCTAAGAGCAAACCAAGGTCTGAAACTTGCTGCTACAGATCTGGCCACTGTTCCTATGTGGTTGGGTGAGCAGCATGGGAAGCAAGCAGAGGCAAACAGTGTGGGTGGCCTGTGAGAGCCAGCTCACACATTAGTGGCTTTGGGGAACACTGGTCAGAAAGTGGTCCCTGCCCTGTGCGAAGGTTTAGGGGTGAGATTCCTGGAGATCTAAAGAAACAAGGCATCTGCAGGGACTGCACATGAAGGATAAAAGATCTAGTTTCTGGAATCCCCCAGGACACAAGTTGAGCCAGATCAGCAGAAGGGAAAGTAAGGCAAGTCAGCAGCCTAGGCCTCCCTTCCAGTCCTCATCGTGGAAGTTCAAGCTGGGTTGAATGAGTTGGTGGTTGACCATCACCACCGTGGTGGTGAGAGCTAGAAGTGGTGAGAGCCAGATATAATGTTATAGCATAGAGAGAGGTTGGCATCACAAAGAACTCCATGGAAGAGTCTAGAATGAACTACTGCCACCACCCTTATGAGTGTGTGTGGTGGGACTGGGGCTGCGCCTCCCCAGGCCAGGCCAGTAAGCAGTAACAAAAGCTCAGCCTGCTATGCTGAAAACACAGAGGAAGAGAACAGCAGCTTACAGTTCCTGCCATCTGTCATAGAGCACCTGTGATGTCTCCTGTTCCTTCTGGAGGACATCTTTGCTTACTGAGAGCACCCTGTGCCAGAGTAGTTCTGGGTTCCTGCCATACTCCTTGTGATGTAACGAGAGGCCCCAAGTAGCCATCAAGCCCAGAAAGAAGTGCCAGTGAGCTACTGCAGCCATTGTGCTATGCAGTGACCTGTAGGCTATGGGAATTCCAAGTCAGCTTATCCCAGGGCAGATGGTGAAGGGTTGCCAAGGCCAAGGAGCTGGGGGTTGAGAAGCAATGAAGATCAAAGGTAAAAGGCAGTGTTATGCTGGCACAGGAGTGGATGGGACCAAGATGTAAGGTTTTTGACTACATACTAACTTTACCTACTTAAAGTATATGTGCATTAGGCTTTATACAAAAGAAATTAAATTCACAACAGTATCAACTAAGTTTTACTGCTCCTAGAGACCAGACCTCTCCCCCAAACCCATGTCATTGGTTCTGCCTTAGGAAACATGCTGCTGGTGGCCATGAAGGGCAAGTTCAGTTCCACAGCTTCTTGGATGGGCCATTCTTCTAACCCTCTTCCCCTCCATCAAAGAACCTTATTCTTGGGTTAAATCTACTCCCTTTGTCCAAGGGAGGAAGGAGGACAGTTTTTCTTTGTTTGTTTGTTGGTTAATTAAGCTAATAAACCCAATTCATCAAGTACCCATGAGTATGCTTCTTTTTCATAGTGTTAGAAACCAGAAAGAAACCTTGGGTATAAAGAAAAGGAGGGGCTCCCACAAATCAATTTAAGGGCTACATATCATACCCATATTCTCATTTGGACTGATTTCTTTCTGGGGGTGTACAGCTGTCATCCTGTATTCCAATGGGGGCCCCAGAACTGTGGAAAGGGAGACGTTAGCCCAACCTTTATCCAATGCATTAGTAACATAGCAAACAGATCTGCCCCAGGGGAAAAACACAATTTTCTGGTTCCAACAAAAGGATTCATGGAGAAAAAAAGGAAATGCAATATTCTGGCAGAACAATGATAGCTTTTTTGCAAGTATAAATAAAATCCTCATAATGTAATATAACCTCTCTGCACTTGGGTCTATGCTGTTGTTTACTTAAGTAGCATCTGCTTTCCTTCCACATGTCACATACCCAGTCCAGAACCTAAAATAATCCATGTTGATAGAAAATGCAGGGCAGACTGACCAAAGAGACATTTCTTTCATTGTGAAGAGCTTATGTTTGACAAGGCTTGCTTCATAAATCCTACAACGTGAATGAAAGGGATTTCAAGAACTATATGCTTTTGCTGAAATAAACCATTGCTTTGCATGTATCAAAGGGGCAAGTGAGTTATAAATGTCAACATGTTTGTCAATTGATCATCTGGTTGTTTGCTTACAAGCTGCCAAGTGCCCACTCTGTCTTCCAAAGGAAATCTTTTCAAAGGTAATATATTTTTAAATAGCCCACATCAAAGATTCTGTTGAGCTGCCATAAAATAAACGTGGGCTGAGCCAATATTAACAGAACATGTTATACTGCACTATAGTTTACTCCCTGTGCCTACCTGAAGTTTAAATAAAGTCCATCAATCCATCCAGACGTTTTTATGAAATGTAATTAAAGATGTATTGCACACGAAGAGGAGCAAACAGTTAATTCGCTCAGCACTCTAATTCAATTTTATAGAGGATCCTGGACTCAACTTGCTTGACTACACTCATGGACTTCAGAAAGTCACTCTGCTGATCATTTGTAGGCATGGTCTCAGGCGACTGTACCTGTCTACTGATCCAGCCACCTGGGTTCTGAATGCTGGCATCCAAGACACCCTTGGAGTCTGGCCTGAGCCAGCATCCAATTTGGCTGAAGTGACAGCACTAGCAGGACTCAGATAATGCCCATGAAGACACCTGATAACAGCTATGAAGGGAAGGGAAAGAAAGGACAGGTGCCATAGAGATGAAGCTCACACTTTGGAGTCATGCTTGTGCCCTTCTGACAACTGGGATTCCATTGTGGGAATGCAAGCCCTGACATCTCCTTAACCCCTTTGTGTCCTGGCTCTTCTGAACCATCTCTTCATCTACAAAGCAGCAATACCAATGCCAGCCTACTCTTCCCGACACCTACAAGACAAGGGCACACCTGTCTTTTCTAAAACGCCATTTTGGAACCATCTTGGGGGAACTGAACTCAGAATTCCATTGGCCATCTTTTAAATTTTTTCTTACTTTCCTTTTGTTTTTAATGTTCATCTGTACCCATCTCTCTACTTTAGGATTCTGATTAGGACTCAGTGCTACTTCCCTCCTCATTCCACAGCTGCTAACTGATCCCTGGAGAAAGTTAAGGACAGCTGTCAAACTCAGCAAGAATGGACTTTCCTCTTTGAAAGTTTCTATGTCTTTCAAAGTGAAAAGATTTAATGCATTCTGCTTGCAATCACAAGTCCATATGTCAAATATACCAAATGAAAAAAAAAATTAAGCTTCTGAGTCTCATTTATCCCCACGTGGAGACTTGGGATTGTCTGTGTGTTAGCTAGATGGTCAGCAATTACTTCCTAAAGAGCAGATGTGACACAAAGTACTGGGATGAGGCTAGATCTAATAATAATTACACCTTTCCTTCGTCTAACACTCTGCATTTTCAAATACAATTATCTACATTGTTTCATCATTGTGTCATCAAGTTGGAGGG